ATGTATTTCCTCTGTTCTTTTTGATATTTTGGCATATTCTGCTAACAAACACTTCTCAGCCACACATTTTACTGAATCTGTTCAGACCTTATCTCAAGTTTCTTTGTCATGAATTCCCTGTTTCAGCGCTAAGGAACTTAAATATAATACAAATAATTTCAAATTAGAGTGGAAATATTGGGTTTTTTTCCCCTAAATTAAATATCAAGAGGGAGATTAACGTTAAACATTAACAGAATAAAAAGGAAACTTACGGGGACTGCAGCTGCAACTCCCAAGATGAACAGGAAAAATATCACAGTCTTCATGTTTTCTTGACCTGTGAACCAACCAAGCAGTGGTGAATAAAGTGTTCCTTACGAACAAATGGAGGATAATCTTAGTAAACGTTGAGCTTGGTATCGAAACTGTAATAACAGTGCCTTATGTATTTAACAATTATCACTATCTTTCTAGAGAAACACTATAGATCTTTCTTACACAATCATGTCCTTGTGAAAATTATTCCTTGATTGTGTTCATCCCTGCTATGCTCAGCTAACCGTATCTTTATTTCTTGAGTCAGAATTCTTGACCCTTGACACAAATCTTGCCCCTTACCATGTGTGAGTGAGTACTCATAGTGAACTATGATTTTTATCATAGTGGAGACAGCTGGCCAGTCAGAGTTAGAGAAGCATCAACTTTTGTGTTGAAGAAACCATCCAGCTCTTGCTAAGTACTGGAGAGTCTATTTTTGACCCATAATGATCCCAAGTGAGAAAGAAGAACTACCTGGGGGCTTTTCTAGATAGAAATCTTTATGGGAGCAGATCACTGGCCTTCCTCCTGGAGAGGATGGAGTGGATTTGAATCTTTAGATTGGTAGTTCATTGCTTCCTCATTAAGTCACTAGAGCAATAGTTGGAGAAATGCACATCCAGTGAGAATTTAAAATAATCCCCACTGCATTGCCACAGAATCAAAGAATTTTCAGGAGGCACAATATTCAAGAAATCTACAAGATTTGTGTTTGGCCATCTGTGAGCTGACAGTGGCCTGCAGAAAGGTTCTGTTTGATGGTCACTGAACATTTACAATGAACATTTTAAAATCTGGAGATTTTCACATGAATATCTACATTCAAGCTCCTCTTGATACTCAGGAGCAATTTACTTTCACAGGAACAATTGACTGGATTTGAGTAAAGCTTTCCCTGTCTAAGGTATGTTGGTCTTTGAACCAGGTCTATCTCACTTTTATTATTTATCTTGCAGTAGAATTTAGTTGGTTCAAAACCGACTTCTTCAGTTTAGAAATGAGACAGGTGTGATTCAAAGGATGAAATGAATTTTTCTTCAGAAATATTGGTCCAGGGCATTTACCATGATACTAAATATTTTAATACAGTTATTAAATGTATGGGCCACTAACATTTATTTCTTTGCAGTGTGCCCTTTAGCCTGGTAGTCTGGATCTGACTAGAAATAGGATTACCATTTTTAGTCTTCAGTAGAGATATTTAAAAAAAATTATTTCCTACATAAGTAGATGATTCTTATTCTTTTGCAAGTATTGTTTTTCCCATTTTTAAAATCGTGATTTTAATGAAAGTTTACAGAAAAGTTAGATTTTCATACATTTGTGATTGCACATTTTCTTCCCTACCCCCTCAGTTCACTTAAAAACAAAAGATCATTGTTATATAATTCCCCCTGTCCCTACTCCCCAACACCTCTCCCAGTTCACTTTGCTGTATGTCTCTTATTCTGAA